CCAGCATTTTTTTTTCTTTTTTAATTCAATAATAGCTCAGATATTTTTGTGTTAAATCCCTGTGGATAGATTCATATCAACCTATCATATTTTAAAGCTTTACCTAATGTTGCATAGTATGTATAAGTCGTTTCCTTATAATGGACACTTAGATAATTTTGCGTTTTTTCTGTATTGTAAGCAGTACTGCAGTGAATACACTCTTCACACACAAATTCAAATGTCTCTGCTTTCTACTCCTGGTATGTAGAGTGGCCACAGACTTGTGAAAACCAGATTAACAACAGTTGAGAGGTGAGGAACAGCTCTCAGGGACAACTGTAATGACTTAAAACCATCATTGTTGGCCAGAAAAACAAGAAAGGGAAAAAGAAATAATGTGTGTAGAGTATAGAAGAAACATACAGTTAACCTGTAGTAAAATGAGTATGAACTTTGAAGCCACTCCATGTCTGATAGAACAGGTTAATCGTTAAGAGCAAAAATCTTAATAAAGATAGCACTCCAGTGTTAATGTAGATAGTTTATGTCAATAAGAAAGTCAGTCCTTTTAACATGTTAGTTGCTCTTTTGGTCATGTGTTTATGTACTTAGTATTTATATTTTACATTTTGTATAATCAAAGTATGTATTTATTTCCACATCTTAACATTTAGAAGGGAGACATTCATATTTTCAGTGTATTAATTCATTTAACCTTCACATCAGTCCTGCAAAATTCATTCATAACCTACAGATGAGGAACTAAAACACAAAGAAGTAACTGATAAAAGTATTTAGGGACCCCCAGCTAATAAATGGTGAACTGAGGTTTTTAAACCAAATCACTCTGACTTAAAAACCTGGTTTGTTTTACTATTTTTGTTTTATTATATATTCACCCAAACTGGATTACTGGACCAAAATCAAGTAACATGAACATTTCGCCCAGTTGCCTTCCAAAAGCATTGTAGCATCTTCTTCATTGTGGTTGATGTCTATCATAAGGGATAGTTTCCATCCAGCATATTACTTTATTTTCATTAAATTGTGTTGCTACTCAGAAAGGTGGTGGTAGTGGTTTAGTCACTAAGTCGTGTCCAACTCTTGGTACCCCATGGACTGTAGCCTGCCAGGCTGCTCTGTCCATGGCGTTTCCCAGGCAAGAATACTGGCTGAAGTGGGTTGCCATTTCCTCCCCCAGGGGATCTTTGCAACCCAGAGGTCAAACCCGTGTCTCTTGCATTGCAGGTGCATTCTTTACCGACTGAGCCACCAAGGAAGCCCTACTCCAAGAGGAAAGCGCTCACTGTTACAAAACGAGGGCGTTTCAGTATTTGTATACTTGGCCCTTTTACCTATCTGAAATTTCTTTTTGTTATCTAAAGAATTTTGAGAGAGATGAAGAGACCTGTTTCACAATTCAAAATATAGTCTTTTTTAACAGTACATTTTATATTTATTTAGATTGTAAGGAGAAATTTTGGTTCATATGCATGTCTTAGTTCAGATAGCCATATTTGAACTGTTCTTCTTAGAGTAAATTTGCCTATATAAATTGACACTACTGAAGAATAAATTCAAAACTTTGCATTTATGCAGAATGATGATAGGAAATTCTTTTTATACAAATGTGTTATATAAGACTGTCAGTTGACAAGATTGGGAATCCCCGAGTACAAGCAACCATTATACTCCTTTCTACATCTTCAATAGTACTTTTCACATGCAAGCTCAGTAAATATTGAGTCACAAAGTGAGTGACTGTAACTGCCCACTGTAGTTACTCTTGTTATTCCTAACTGAATAGTGTCAAAGCTATTGTCAATGCTAATAGTTTTGTTATCCTTTAATTTTCAGAATGATTGACTGGCTGTCCTGGCCATTGGCTCAGCATGTAGACACATGGGTGATTGCACTCTTAAAAGGACTGGCAGCTGTCCAGAAGTTTACTATTTTGATAGATGTTACTCTACTGAAAATAGAATTGGTAAGTGGGAGTATATTAATCTTTTGAAATGCATAGACATATAGATATATATGTGTGCTAAGTGATTTCAGTCATGTCTGACTCTTTGCAACCCCATGGACTGTAGCCCCCCAGGCTCTTCTGTCCATGGGATTTCCCAGGCAAGAATACTGAAGTGGGTTGCTATTTCCTCCTCCAGGGGATCTTCCTGACCTAGGGATCGGACCCGCATCTCTCTCTTACATATCCTACATTGGCGGGTTCTTTACCACCAGTGCTACCTGGGAAGCAAGACCCAGATAAGTCCATATAATAAGTCTTTTTATCTTTGCGTTGTCTCCTTTAAAGCATCTAGTTTTGAATATGGTCTTGTTTTGGGTTTTCAATAAAAATTTTGAATAGGCTTTAGAAATTTAAAATGCTACTTAAGATTAGGTCATTATAATAATTTTGCTGTTTTCAAATATTTATCATGAAAACATATTCTTCCCATTATCTCTTGAATCCCAACTAATCCAGCTTTTACCACCATTATTCTACCAAAATGATCTTTGACACCTATGCTCTCCAGTGTTGCTTAACTCAAGAGTTTTTTCTCAAGCCTCCTCTTTTTTGACCTGTTAGTCATTTGACACAGTTGATCACTCCCTCTTGAAACACTTTCCTCCCTTGGTTTCCAGGATGTCATACTCCCCTGGATTTTATTCTAGTGCACTTCTCAGTCCTGTAGTGGGTCTTTCTAACTTTAGAGTGCCTTAGAGTTTCATCTCTGGCTTCCTTTCTTCTCAGTTCACACAGCCACCATGGCTTTAAACAACATCTCTAAGTTTGTGACTGATAGGTTTACATTTCTAGTCCACTATTCTCCTGTAAACTCCATATTCATGTATCCAGCTCTCTATATCCTTGGATCTCAGGTTCAGCTTATCCACAACTTAATCCCTGATTTTTCCCTCCCAACCCTGGTCTTCCCCATCTTAAATGACTGTCTTAGCCTTTCATGTGCTCAGGCTCAACCTTGAAGGTATTCTTTTCTCTCTTCATGCTTTCTCAGCCCATATCTTACAAATCCTACTGACTCCACCTTTAAAATATAACCTGCATTCTACCACTGTCAACCAGCTACATCACTACCACCCTGGTCCAGATTCATCACCAGTTGTGCTAAGTCACTTCAGTTGTGTCCGACGCTATGCAACCCTATGGACTGTAGCCCACCAGGCTCCTCCGTCCATGGGAATTCTTCAGGCAGGACTACTGGAGTAGGTTGTCATGGCCTCCTCCAGAGGATCTTCCCAACCCAGGGATCAAACCTGGGTCTCCTGCCTCGGAAGCACCAGCCCTTGCTATACTGATTGCAGTAGGCCTGCGGCTTCTGCCCTTGATCCCCTTTGGCCATCACACGAGGTCCTACCTGGTCTGGGCCACTGCTGCTCCTCTCGCCTGTCTTCCCCTGTAACTGCCGCAGTCTCCGTGCTTTATTTCCACACACTGCCCTCCTCGTTATCTCTCTGTCCACCAGGCTGGAGGCCTCAGGGCTTTTGCAGTGCTGAGTATAATAATCAGAGCAAAGGCCTTTCTTCCAGTTATCTGTCAGACTTATCTCATTCCTTTCAGTTTTTTGTAGTCAGGGGTCACATTTATCATGGGCCTTTTATTAATTCACTATAATAAAACAGCCGAGCCTTTTGCCACTCAGCATTCCCTATTCAACATGCCTTGCTTTCGTAGCATTTTTCTCTCGTTACTTTTAATTGTCTCTACTCAACCCTCTGGACAGTAAGCCCTGTAAGATCAGAGGTTTCCTTTGAATCCACTATTGTTTTCCCAGTATATACAATAGTGTCAAGCAGTAGTAGATGGCCAATAAGTATTTGCTGAATGAATAATGGGCCAGGGAGCTGTCACCTTATAAACATTGTTTGACAGATTTTTATTTGATGATGTAGTTTTAAGAGTTGGTGAGGTCATTATACTCCCTTGATCTCTGTCATGTTATTTCCTAACTTTCTCCCTCTCCCAGAGTTTAATTACACATGTTTTGATAAAACTTCCCAGGAGATATGCACATAAATAATTTGGAGCCCTATGAAAGTAACCACTGATGGGGATGATGATTTCCGTGCCAAGCCTTGAAGCGGATGTCTTGTCTTGTCTGCAGGTTTTTAATCGCCTTTGGTTTCCTCTCGTGCGGCCTGGCGCTCTTGCAGTCCTGTCTCACATGCTGCTTAGTTTCCAGCACTCTCCAGAGGCGTTCCATTTGGTGAGTTGTGACCCAAGTTTCCTACTGTGAAAAACCTTGTTTTAAAAGTTCAACTTAGTATCGAGTCACATTTGTATTTGTGAAAAGATTATAGATTGGTCCTAAATCTATTTTCTTGTAGCTTTATGGGTCCTTTTAAAATTGGTATTGTGAGATTTCCTCTCCAAGAATATATTTTAGAATGTTTTGGGTCTCACCAAAACTTCCACTTGGGGTCACAGCGAGCAACTGAAAGTTAAAAGTTACTCTTGTACTTGAGAAATGCCACGTGTCAGTGTCACTGTCCATTGTCTGTTGCACACGTGAGCAGTGCAGAAGGAGAAAAATGGATTAAAACCACGGCCTGCTTTAGAACTTCAGAACCATGAAAACATCAGTCTCTGTTGCCCTAGAATTAGGGCTCTGCGTTCTCTCTCAGCTTATATCCTATAAATTCTGTTGATTCCTCTTTTAAAATAGATCCAGAATCCTACCACTTTTAACCAGCTGCATCACTGGTTTTGGTTTGATTTCATATTGTTTATTTGATTATCAGTTATTGCAAGTGAGAAATAACAAAATGTAATTTTGAGAACCTGTCCATTTTTCTGTCTAGAGTATCACAGGAAAGCAGTGCTTTATGTGGTTACTCACTTCCTCCAAGGTCTGATCCTCAGTTTTACAGGACTAAAAACTCAGTCAACACACCCACAATTTAAAATTTTAGGAAGTCTGACCCACCACAAACATATTCAAAAGAGGCTGAGGAAATGCAGAATTTCAGCTGTTGATTGTTGGCTAGAAATTTAACTAGCCTCAGAGAATTATGTATCACATCGGCTACTCAGTGCCTCTTTCCACTGCAGGAAAATCTGTAGGCTTATCAGAAGTAAACTTTACTAACAAGTAATTACTTATAATGCATTATCACTTAGGAAGAGTGATTTCTGTAGTTTATTGTTCTAATTGGTGAGCTTGATCATCAATTAATAAACTTGTTATCCATTATGCAAAACTCAAACTTGAGCTAATGTAGCAGGATTACTAGCAAAATCGTCCAAGGGAAAAAAACAACTATTTGTCCCTCCCTTCAGGCACAGTCATGTATCAGCTGTTTGAGAAAAGGTTTGTATTTATTTATTTTCTGGGGAGGAAATCCATTCTAATGTTTATTACTCTCCACACATTTCTTGTTCTCTCAGATAAGTCACTTTTGCTATACTCTAAACCTATTTCCTTGCTCAATTTTTTAAAAGATAGAAGGGATCTCCTTAGCTTTTGTTGTCTTCCCTCCCCCAAAAAGTAATTGAAATGGCAAATGGTTGACTTTGAAATATTTGACTACTGAAATAAGTAATTATGAAATCATTTATTTAAAGAACAGTTAGAGCTAAAATAGGAAACTGTGATCTGGCTTTATAAAGTCTAAAAACAAAGAATTATTCTGTCTACATACAGTGTATAGCCTCAACTAAAATTAACTTGGGCATCTAGTAGTGGGTCATGCAGTAGTTAAATCACCTGTAACTCTAAATAACTCAGCAAAGGACTCAGGTTTAGGACTTGCTAAGTATGAACAGTAATGTGAAATCACTAGTATATTATACATTTAGAATATTTTAAAGCAAACCAAGATTGATGTAAGTGAGGAAAAATTTTTAAATGGAAGAGAAGATATCAAACCTTCTAATTAAATGTTATACACATTTTCTCAAATAGTAACTTAAGTTTAATGAATAGCACAGTAATGTCTGCAAATATTCAGATTTGCTCATTCAGAAAAAAAAATCAGTTTTCAGATATTTAGAAGATAATAACCTGCTTGGATGTCTGTCTTATACACTTGGGAAGAAGTCTTATTTCTGAGTCAGTGATCATTTTTTACTACATAAGATGTAATAGTAGATAACTGGGTATATTATCTGTCCACAGAGATCCAATCTACCCTAGGAAGGCTTTTGGACGATTTAGTATTATAAATTAAATAATCATTTTAAAAATTCTTTCTTCTCTTCCATCTTTGTCTCCCCTGTTACCTCTGAGGAAACCATAATTTTGGATTTCTGACTATTTTAGCAAGTATCTGATAGGTATGACTCTATGGAGCAAAATTATAATTCAGATTTGCTTTGAAGTGTAGCAGCGATAGCAGTGGTGTGAAGCATTAGGAGCTGGTGGTTTTATGGTCAGATTAATGCCCTCAGTGGAGGTAAGATTAAAGAACGTGATATGAAAGCAAAACTGTGATTTAAGACCTCAAAGCATAAGAGTAAAACCAGAGAGAGAACGAAGAATAGCACTGTTATTTTAAGAATATAAATTTCTTTCTACAAGAAGGAAGGGGGCTGACTGGAATATAATTGTAGTTATTGCTGTTTGATGATAAGACCATAGAGCTGGCTGTAACTTCACTTTTGTCATGAGGTAGCCGTGAACCAAATAGATGTTCTACACTGCCTATACCAAATAATATTCTACACTGCTTTTTATTTGGTTCATTTGGCTACTTTAGGAATAGTCTGAAGGAGGGCAAAAGGTGAAAGCAAGGATACCATTTGGGAGGGAGGCTTTGCATGAATTTGAGGCAAGAGGTGATTGTCAGTTGAAACAAGAAAAGCTCTAGGCAGTATATAGGTTTGATTCCATTTGTACAAAAAAATCACATATATGGCATGTGCCGTGACATGCTATATGAAGTTAAATATACAACCAGTATCTTTCACAGGACAGTGGGACAGAGACTTTTACTTCATACATGTTTGTATCGTTAGATTTTCTTTATAGTAAGTGTGTAATTCATTTACAACAAAATTAAACTTATATAGAAAGATAATATAACAATATAGGAAGTTAGGGCAATATATCATGAAATTACCCACAATCTCACTACACTAATTTTTATGTTTTCCATTACAATGTTTTTTCCCCTAAATATTTTAACAAGGTTGTATTTATATTTACAATCAATATGTAATTTTTGTATCCTTCTTTTGAAATTTAATGTTACATAATATTTTCCCATGTTGTTGCATATACACACACACATACATACACAAAAGTTCTACAAAGAGAAAATGATAAGATGCTTTTTACATGTGGACTCTAAATATATAGTATCAAATTATACTAATGAGCCATTGCTGCAAAATAGCATTTATTTTGTTAATAACCTCTTAAATATGTGATTGGCTCTGTATTGACTTTTTACTCTACTTTTATAATGAAAGGATATTGTTGTGCTTATTATCAGTGTTAATAGTTTTCTACATAATTATGAGCAATGAGCATTTTAGATTTCACTTTAATTTTTAATCCCAGTTCCTTAAAAATAATGGACTTTCCTCATTCTCTTTATTTTTAGAATTATCTCTTCTTTTTTGGAGGTGGGGCATGGGGATCATTAGTAAGGATAACCATGCTTACATAAGACACCGTCCCTAAAATAAAGGTAGTCCCTTGTCTAAAATAGAGGTGGTGCGGTAGCCTCAGCTGTAATTTTAGTTGTATGGGTAAGTTATAAAGATTTTCTTGAAGCAGTCTTTATTGTGCAAACATGTCTAATTCTTTCAAGTGAAAAATCTAAAATTCACACTAGATGGCGCTCTTAAGTTATTGCTTGGTTTATCTTTTAACCATTTGTCCCTATTAAGCAATGTGGTAAATATAATAGCCCCAACATTTTTCAGTTTAAGCCATTTTTAGAATGGCAGCAGTGACTTAGGCTCCTATTTATTACCTTAATTTTTTGTACCTTAGTTTTAAATGGAGTATAAGCATGAGGAGAGGGGTTTTATATGGAATTACAATTATATTTGCTTCAAAAACTAGATTTACCTTGGTATTCGAGAAATGTTTAACTTCATAACGTTTTTAGAAAAAGGCAGTGACTGAACATAACAGAAGAGCATTGCTAATTGTGTAACATTTCCACTCCATTTGTACTGGTGTGGGTTGCCATTTCCTTCTCCAGGCAGTCTTTCCCAACCCAGGGATCAAACCTGGGTTTCCTGCGTTGCAGGCTGATTCTTTACAGTCTGAGCGACTAGGGAAACCGTATTCCATTTGTAGGCTAGGGAATTTGTTGCCAGTTCGTGTAAATTAAAGAATGTTTGTCTTTTTTTCTGTTCAGATTGTTCCTCATGTAGTTAATTTGGTTCACTCCTTCAAAAGTGATGGTCTGCCTTCCAGTACAGCCTTCCTAGTGCAGTTAACAGAACTGATTCACTGTATGATGTATCATTACTCTGGATTTCCAGATCTCTACGAACCCATCCTGGAGGCAATCAAGGTATGATGATAGTTGCAGCAGTCTTTGTGGAGCTGCAGCCTATGATGTGATAGATGAATGCGCTGAAACATTTCTGTAACCAGCTATTCAATTTACTGTCTTATGGAAATATGCTTTTTGTTTGAAAAATGCAATTGGAACTGTGGTTCAATAATTCTTAGAGAGTTATGTCTTTCTTATGTGCTATAACTCTCCAAATTAATAACCATATTTCTTCAGTTCTACAGTGCCAACAATGATAAGGCATATCTTTAAATTCATAACAGCTTTGAAGGAAATTTGCTTTAAAAAATGATACATTAAGTTGATATGTACATAAGTCGCTTCCCAATATCAGAAATGTCAAAATATATAAGATACATTTTAGATTCAAGGGAAGGCATTGTAATTACAGTATTTGAACTCAGTTTCTTCGCTGATTTTTATTTCATTTTTGCTGTGGATTGTTCATGAATGTCCATATATCTTAGAATCTTTACTTGAATTATTTGTGAACTTACTGTTTTTCAACTTTGTGTGGATACTGGATCTAAAAAGCATTGATTCTGTTTGTCTTGAAAAATGGATCACAGAAAGCATACTTTCCTCTTAGTAAATGTATTGCTTAATCAGGGAACAGCAAAATAATTGGAGAACTTCCTTCAGCTAGATGTGTTCAGAAGTTGTTAGAAATCAGTTCTTTTGATAATGTTCCTTTTTGAGGTCTGAAATAAAGTATAAGGTCTCATTACCTTTACTTCTGTATGTGAAATGAATACAAAGCATATTCTTTCTACTGTAGAGTTTCTAGTTAGAATGAGTTTGGATGAGGCCAAAACACAAAACTGTTCAGCAAAGAAGGGATACTATGGGCATGACCCTTGGACACTTCAGAAGTAAATGTCTTTGTCAGAAGTAAAAGGGTTTTGTGATGATTTGATAGCAATATTAACCTCTGTCTGCAGTGTTGCTGTGTCCATAGGTGAGAGCTATTGCTGTTGTTAAATGTCATTCTTCACCACTAAAAGCTGAAAATTCTGATAACTGAAGTAGGCTCGGTTTGCAAGGATCTCCCTGTTACACTAAGGGAAGCATTTTCCATGAGATGTCAACAACAACAATAAAATCAAAAGATTAAAGTTGCTTCAGAAAGTATTTTCTGAGGTTTAACTACTTTAGGTGGTAACAGCAGTCCAAAAAAGCCTTCAAGATTTTACCAGCTTCCCTTAGTCCCCAGTACTCCACTCATGCTTGAAAACCACTGACACTGAACATTTTATTTCATACGTCACAAAGCGGGGAAGAAGCTATATCTTGTAATCATTTTCTCTATGGTTAAACACGAGATGGAGTTTTGTTTTTTAAAGTCAAAGGTCATTGTGCTTAGATACTTTCATTTTTCATTCTCTGACTACTTTGAGATTTTATTTCTAAGGGTTAATATATTCTTTTTGGAGACCATTATTTTTGCCATGTACTGTGATTTTTTTTGATGACTGGTCAAGTACTATCAGTGATATCAAAACTAAATGGGAGAAAAGAAAGATTAAATGTCAGTGGAAGAATCTTCTTTATGGTGTTAATAACAAAAAGTAGTTTATACTTTATACTACTTTTTCCTCTTTATGATCTACAGGATTTTCCTAAGCCCAGTGAAGAGAAGATTAAATTGATTCTCAATCAAAGTGCCTGGACTTCTCAATCCAATTCTTTGGCATCTTGCTTGTCTAGACTTTCTGGAAAATCTGAAACTGGGAAAACTGGTCTTATTAATCTAGGCAATACATGTTATATGAACAGTGTTATACAAGCATTGTTTATGGCCACAGAGTAAGTTTTAATTTGAACTTTAAAAAAATTTTTCATTTTAACTGTAGAAATTGATGCATGCTGACATTTGTAAGATGGTGAGATTGTCTTCAAATTATTTCTTATATATGGTAGAAACATTAATATTTTCATATAATTGCCTTATTCAGAAACAAAATTGCTTTTAGTGCCTGGAGCTATTAAAATGCTAATTTATATAAATTATACTTCATGTTTATATTATTTATTTCATTTAGAGTCTTTCAGTTACTCTGACTTGACTTGTGGGTATTTTGCTGTTTATCAGATCAATAACTTCTTCACTGCCTTTAAAGAAATTCAAGCTCTGCTTCCCATCCCAAGTTGATAGATACTGAACCAGATGTATAACAGACATGTTCCTTTGCCGTCTTACAGATTTACTTTCAAATACATATTCTCTTGCAGCCAAGCAAATAGGAAATCAGTGGCTGTTAGCTATGTGAATGCAATCTGTAAAGGTACAAAATAGTGATGAACTTTTCCTGAAGGCAAAAACCTGGTTGAATTTTTCTCTTCTATACCAATAGGATATTCGTGGAACTTGACCAGAGATGTTTACAAATTGAATTCTAGGCCTTTGTAAGTTTTTATGCCTTCCTATATGCCTCTTACCTGCCTTCCAGGTATCATACCTGGAGGAGGGCTTGGCAGCCCACTCCAGTATTCTTGCCTGGAGAATTCCATAGACAGAGGAACCTGGAGGGCTGCGGTCCATGGGGTCGCAAAGAGTCAGACACAACTGAGTGACTGATCACAGAAGACTCATAAACTAAAAGCTGAAGAGTTTAGCTTTATTTTCTTTCCTGGCCTCAATATATACAATCAAAACTAAGGTGTTTTCATTTGGTCTAGTGGTTTGTTTGTTTTTAGGAATTTTTTTTCTTGTGTTCTAAGAAAATATTTACTCATAGACACAAATGATACTAGGCATAAAACGAAAATAATCCATGTCTTTCCACCAGAGGTCATCTAATCCAACCATCTCATTTTACAAACGATAGAGAAAGCAAAAACTCAAAGCAGTTATAACTGACAGCTACAATTCAAAGAGCACATCTTATTTAATAGCAGCCAATACTATCTCAGAATAGGCAGACAGCATATTTTATTTCTTTGGTAATATGTAAATTATTAAAAAAATAAATCTAGGAGTATAGTACATAAAATAAAAATCAGACATTCCCATAGGTATCTGTTAATAGTTTTGCTTGCATTGTTCCAGACCTATTTTTTGTACAGTGATAAGATTTATCTAGTATAAAACAAATGCATTGGTTTTTAAAAATATGTTGACAAAGAAATCTTGTTTATGTATTCTTTTCCAGCCACTTATTTTTTTTCTTTTGTTGATTTATATTGGAAATAGTCCCATGTTAGTGTAATGACAGAGCTATGTCATTCTGAGTATATATGAGTAACTATGTGCCATAGTTATTTTAATCATCTTCCTAATGATGAATATTAGGTTGTTTTGCTTATAATTAACATCTGCCCATATGCCGATATAGAGGCTATTCTTTGAATAGGGTGTGCCACATTGGTCTCCAGAAAGTTGAACTTGCATACTAATACATGATTGTACCTATGAACCCATACCTTTAGCAGTACTTGATAAAATCAGTATTAAAAAATCTTTCCAATTTGGACAAAAATGTCTTTGTGCATATTAGCTGACCTTTACAGAGTTTTTTGCCCTCTCTAGTATCTTTGTTCATTTGTGTTTCTTTTCTGAATAACCTATTCTTTCCATTGTGTACCTTTCTGTTGGGTCCTTTTCTCTTTCCTACTGATTTATACTGGTGTATACGTGCTTTCTTCCCATCAGTATGATACATTTATCGAGTGTTTTGTTTGCAGTTTTTTATTTTATGTAGTCAGATCTGCTATTTATCATTTATAGCTTCTGAATTTTAGGACACCTTCCCGCCTAAACTCCCTTTACCCCCTTTTCTTCTGTTAAATACTTCAGTATGTTCATATTTTACATTTAGCTCATTACTTCTCTGTGGCATCTGTAATGATATGAAATCTTATCTAATTCTATTTTTTTCCAAAAGGATACCCAATTGTTCTATACTGTTTCTTGAAGTTTCTTCTTTTCCCATTCAGCACTAATACCACATTCTTTAAAACTCTAACTTTATCATAGTTTTGGTGACAGGACTTTTTTTTTATATTTCATGCAGAGTTGAAAGAATTAAAAGTTGTTTACTCAAGTTACTAGTTAATAGCTTCATCTATTTCTATTTGCTAATCCAAAAGACAGGAATAATGTGCAACAGCACGTGGTCATTGCAGGCTGTGTATTCATAGTAATGAAAAATTAAAATAATTTTGTGGCATCTTGTCTTTTTTCCCCTCCCATTTCTAATGTATATACCCTTTCATTATGACTAAACTTTTAAGCTCTAGAACTTAATGGATAAACTATTTACCTGTTAAAAGTTATGGAGCTTAAAATTTTGTGATCTTTTATGTCCACAAATTAATCCAAGGGAATAAGTTTATGCTAATAGCCAGAATGTCAGGTAAATAGCTATTTATTGAGAGATATAATATAAAGTCTGATAAGCATTCAGAAAGGAATCCTTATGTTCAAGGAACTTGTACTTTTAAGTTTTGAGTAATACCTATGAATAATACAAATCATTTATAAATAATATTTTCTGGTTTTACTGTTTTCATTTCACAGAGGTCTAAAGGAATAGGTAGTTACAGCCAGAAGAGAAGATAGATTTAGAATTGATGGAATTGAGTTGTTAGGAATGCTTTGTTTCCTATCTACAAACTGAGAAATATCTCAAGTATAACTTCTTAAATGAAAGGAATCAAGATTGACATGAGTGATGGCCTGAAATACTCAGAGGATCATTTTACTGTTCTCTACCTGGAAGAAATATGTTTACAAATTTAACACCTCAGGACCAAAGGAGATGAAATCTCCTCCCTGCAACTCCCAAACATTGTTTTCTAGTAAATACTTGCTGTATTTACTGTATGCTGTTTACTGTATGTTATATAGAGTTTGCTCTTGAACATCACAGTCTGAACTGCAAAGGTTCAGCTACACATGGATTGTTTCCAATAAATCTGTACTAGAGTACTACACAATCCATGTCAGAGTCCACAGGTGCAGAACCACAGATACAGTGGGCCTATTGTGAAGTTAGACACAGGTTTTTGACTAAGCAGAAGGTCAGCACCCTAACCCCATGTTGTTCAATGGTCAGCTGTATTAACATGTATGCATATGGTAGGTGTATGTGTATCAGTGTGTATATGTGTAGATATAGATACATTATATATACTATATTAACTTAAGTCAGAGCTATTAGGAAAAAGCCTTAGGAGTCTTCCATATTCCCAAAAAAGAATTAACACGAGAACCTAATTAAAGTTCTGCCATAGTTGAGACCCTGTCTGATAGCAGGCTGACAAGTAGATTAGGTAGGTAGATTTTCCCTATGTGATTTAAAAGGCTTTTCTTCTCATAATTAATAAAGCTAATATGTATTGAGCATTTAAATTCACCTAGCTCCTGTGCTAGGTGGTTTACATATATTATCTCTTAATCCTCAAAATCAATCTATGAGGTAATAAGGCAGTATCCCCATTTTACAGGTGAAGAAACAGGACTTACGTTACCTGCTTTCATGGCCATGCAAACAGTGGCAAGACTGGAATATGAATCAAATGATTTCTGAAACCTACTGCAAACAATCCACCAAATTCCTTTTCTTCAAAATGCCATAACCATACCTATTTTGATAGAAATGTTCTCCTTAACTGAGAACCCTGTCATATACCACAAATACTCAAATTCTAAATTTTTAAGTTACAATCACAACTTTGCAGATGTCTTTCTCAGTTCTTTTTTTGTCGTGGCAAAATCTAGGATTTCAGCCTACCTTGGTGTAAAGGCCACAAGCAATCACTTCACTAAACTGCCCCTATGCTAAAAAAATAAAAGTCAGCAAAGTCCCGAACCAGTGTGTTCATATTCCATACATTTATGACATGTATACCCAGTCAAAGAAATTTCCACCTCAAATCAGTATGCATGGCTCTGTAGAGTGTGTCCCTTATTAATACAAAATATATATCCACTAACTTTTTTTTTTTCAGATTTTTTTAAAAAATTGTGGATTCAGGCACATAAGAGAGATAATGCCAGGAGCATTATATTAAGTTAAAGAGACTTGGGGTCTGATAAAAATCCCCTCTGCTACTAGTTTAGTTGTATGACCTTGGGCAAGTCACACACTTTCTCTGGATCGTAATTCTGATCTGCAGAATGAGAAGTTATGACTGAAAGTTACCTAAATGTATTTGTTTGGTCCCTTGTAGTAAAGGTTAAGCCTATGTAATTTTAATAATCTTTATTAAACATTATATATTAAGATTTAGTTATTTAGTTCATGGTGTGAGAATCACTTCCTTGTGTTTTCTCGATCAACAGAGAGAAGCATATGCACCTCGGATATTCTTTGAGGCTTCCAGACCTCCATGGTTTACCCCCAGATCACAACAAGACTGTTCTGAATACCTCAGGTTTCTACTAGACAGGTAAAAAGTATTTATCTAGAGCTGTGATTTGAATTATGTTCTTTCTTAACAGATTATTTCTACCGAATATTGTTTGTACCTATTATTTCTAGTGTTAAACTCTAAAATGCCTTGCATTTGTTGTATTTTTCTGAGTGTTTTTACTTTGGTTTCTTTTTTAAATTTTCTACTTTAGCTGTTCTCAAAGTGGAGTACAAGAACCCCTCAGTTCAGTTCAGTTCAGTCTCTCAGTCGTGTCCAACTCTTTGCAATCCCATGAATCATAGCACGCCAGGCCTCCCTGTCCATCACCAACTCTCAGAGTTTACTCAGACCCATGTCCATCGAGTTGGTAATGCCATCCAACCATCTCATCCTCTGTTGTCCCCTTCTCCTCCTGCCCCCAATCCCTCCCAACATCAGGGCTTTTTCCAATGAGTCAACTCTTCGCATAAGGTGGCCAAAGTACTGGAGTTTCAGTCCTTTAATCTCCATCAAAACTATAGGGGTTGTTTTTCCTACAGGGTCGGTCTTCACAAGGCAAATTGCGTACTGCTGCAATTTTGTTGTTTGCTATGTTTTTAGCATTAAAAAAATGGATACTGCTCAAGGGGCAGATCTCCCTGCCTACCCTTCCCTCACCAACATGAATCACGAGGGGGCCCAGAACTACTTTAGGTGGGGAAGGGGGTGCTGGTGTGGTCCTGGAATATCCCAGGAGATGTTACCAACTCAGTGCATCCTGCTTCAGCTCCAGCACTTCCAGCTGACATCCATCCTGGGGTCCAAGGTGGAAGTTCTGAAGGAGTCAGAGAGTTTGAGGTAAGACGCTGGGCCTTGCTCCCCATGGGGCTCCTAATGTGAGCCCTGCTTCCTTTTCCGATGGTCACCGGGCACTGGGTGCACCAGATTGTATTGAAAGAACCCAATTAGGGTAACCCCCGTTCAGCAGAGAGAGGCCATTTTGGATTGAGGTTCAAAGAGGATTCCATCTTTGTTTTGACCTTGTAAACACCCAGGCCATTGATGAGGACTGTTGGGGGTTGTTGTGATGTGGGAGCCTTGAGCGGCTCCAAATAGCTTCAGATGACCTTCCCTTACTGGAGGAAGGAACTCTCGCCCTGTATTTTCCTGGCTGTCACTCCCAGCATGTCCAGATTTTATGTCTGCCCAGCACCCTCTGGGCTTCATCCTTAAGAACATTCTGGAAGACACTGGGCACCCATTGATGCCTGCCCTTCTACTCCTCCCCCTTGCTGAGATGGGGGGTTCTCCTGGAGACCCATAGCTTCTTTCTCCCCTCCTAAGCCAAGCTCCCCTTGGTGACCCAGCCAAGCCTGGAATTCTCCCTCGGCGTGTTTCCCAGGGACTCCTGACAGTGGCTTCCTGGCCACAAAGCTCAGTCCAGCCGCCAGCCTAAAGACAAGCCCATCTCCGCAGATTCCTCTTCCTTTTTGATTGCAAATTCNTTAGCCTTTGCCCTGCTTCATTCTGTACTCCAAGGCCAAATTTGCCTGTTACTCCAGGTGTTTCTTGACTTCCTACTTTTGCATTCCAGTCCTCTATAATGAAAAGGACAGCTGTTTTGGGTGTTAGTTTTACAAGGTCTTGTAGGTCTTCATAGAACCGTTCAGCTTCTTCAGCATTACTGGTTGGGGCATAGGCTTGGATTACCGTGATATTATTGAATGGTTTGCCTTGGAAACAAACAGAGATCATTCCGTCATTTTTGAGATTGCATCCAAGCACTGCATTTTGGACTCTTTTATTGACCATGATAGCTACTCCATTTCTTCTAAGGGATTCCTGCCCACAATAGAAGATATAATGATCATCTGAGTTAAATTCACCCATTCCAGTCCATTTTAGTTCACTGATTACTAGAATGTTAACATTTGCTCTTCCCATCTCCTGTTTGACCACTTCCAATTTGCCTTGATTCATGGACCTAACATTCCAGGTTTCTATGCAGTATTGCTGTTTACAGCATCGGACCTTCCTTCTATCACCAGTCACATTCACAATTGGGTATTGTTTTTGCTTTGGCTCCATCCCTTCATTCTTTCTGGAGTTATTTCTCCACTGATCTCCAGTAGCATATTTTGGGCACCTACCGGACCTGGGGAGTTCCTCTTTCAGTATCCTATCATTTTGCCTTTTCATACTGTTCATGGGGTTCTCGAGGCAAGAATACTGAAGTGGTTTGCCATTCCCTTCTCCAGTGGACCACATTCTGTCAGATCTCTCCACCATGACCCGAGAACCCCTAGGACTTCCCAAAACACTTTCAGGGATCTTTCCCTTTCCAACTACATATCTGTGTATCTGTAGTTAAGGCCACACTTTCTTTATATACTTCATCCAAAACAGAGCACAATAGACTGAATGCAGAGCAGATACAAGGATCTAGCCTGCCTTCTATTAAGCCAGATGCTTGAAATATTTGCAAAATGAACCATTCTTCTCACTAAATTTTTTGGGGTTTAGAAAACATAACTATTTTTCATTTAAAAATGTTATTTATATTAGCATGTAATGAGTTTATTATTTATTATTATGTAGCACTTTATTACTTTTATTCTCAATTTTTGAATATAGTAAATATTGATAGATATAACCACATACATGATAGCTCTCAGGTTCCTCAGTTATTTTTAAGAGTATAAAGACATTCTAAGATAACAAAATTTAATAACTTCACATTTGGACCAACTGATAAATAGGTGGGTTTGGTAAATTTTATTGTCTTCTTCCCACTTAGGTAATAAAACCTACTATTTCCTGGTCTTTGCCTCCTTTCTGGAATGTAAATAACTAGTACGTTAGTTGAACCCAACATGTGCAACATGTCCCTCCCATTCATTAAGGATACGTTGAGTAGTTTCTTTGTGCCAGGCTTTCTATGAGGTGCCAGGCAGACAAAGATCTATAAGACAGTCAGTGGGTATATACAGTATAAGAGCTATAAAATAGCAATATGAAGAAAGTGTAGTGAGAATATAGGTCAGGAACAATCCCTGACTTCTCTTCTGATCTACATTCTCAAACTGTTTGATATTCCTCTAGATTAAAGGAGAAACTTGATTTTTTTAAATAAGCATTATATTTGATAAGAATAATTTGGCTATTTATATAAGCCAAGCCACTAATATTTTTAAGTAGAACTGACTTAAATTTAAGCGAAGTAGCTATATAATGATATACTCTCCTGCAGGCTCCATGAAGAAGAAAAGATCTTGAAAGTTCAGTCCTCACACAAGGCTTCTGCAAGTCCGGGATGCAGTGAAACTTCTTTACAAGAGGTAGTCAATAAAGCAGCCGCCCTCACAGAGACCTATTGCACAGGTGATGGTGAGAAGACACTAATAGAAAAAATGTTTGGAGGAAAACTACAAACTCACATTTGTTGTCTGAACTGCAGGAGTACCTCACAGAAAGTGGAAGCCTTTACTGATCTTTCACTGGCCTTTTGTCCTTCCTCTTCTGTGGAGAACTTGTCTTTTCAAGATCCAGCATCATCACCCAGTACACAAGATGATGGCCTAACACAGGCCAGTGGGCCTGGTCCTTCAGAAGAACCAGGAGCCTGTAACCTGTCAGCAGTGGCCATTGCCTGTGACTCAGCCGTGAGCGAAGGAATGGTTGACAGTCCTGATGAGTTCTGTCCTGAGGACACTCCTGTCCCTAGTAACTCGAGCAAGATGCTTGTTAATAAAGATGTACCTCAGAAACCCGGAGGTGAAACCACACCTTCAGTGACTGACTTACTAAGTTATTTTTTGGCTCCAGAGATTCTTACTGGTGACAACCAATATTATTGTGAAAACTGTGCCTCTCTGCAGAATGCCGAGAAAACTATGCAAATCACAGAGGAACCTGAGTACCTTATCCTTACTCTCTTAAGATTTTCATATGATCAGAAGTATCATGTGAGAAGAAAAATACTAGACAATGTGTCACTGCCACTGGTTTTGGAGTTGCCAGTTAAAAGAACTCCTTTCTCTTCGTTGTCAGAAAGTTGGTCTCTAGATGTTGACTTCACTGACATTAGTGAGAGTCTAGCTAAAAAGTTAAAGCCTTCTGGGACTGAAGAAGCTTGCTCCCCAAAACTGGTGCCCTATCTCTTGAGTTCTGTGGTCGTTCACTCTGGTGTGTCCTCAGAAAGTGGGCATTACTATTCTTATGCCAGAAACGTCACAGGAACAGCGTCTTCCTGCCAGATGTGCCCCCAGCCTGAAACCCTGGCGTTTTCCTCCTCCCGGAACCACTTACTCGGGAGAGATAGTCCCACCACAGTGATTGAACAGGACTTGGAAAATAAGGACATGTCAAAAGAATGGTTTTTATTTAATGACAGCCGAGTGACGTTTACTTCATTTCAGTCAGTCCAGAAAATTACGAGTAGGTTTCCCAAGGATACAGCTTATGTACTTTTGTATAAGAGACAGAACAGTACTAATGGTTTAACTGGTAATAATTCAACCACTGGACTCTGGGTAAATGGAGACCCACCTCTACAGAAAGAACTAATGGATGCTATAACAAAAGACAATAAACTATATTTACAGGTAAGTCAGAAATATAATCATCATTTGTGGAAGATATTTAAACAATTGATAAATGATTAAATGCTTGCCTTAATTTTGAAATCTAGCTTTTACACTTCCAAGGAATTTACAAAGTGGTGATTTTGAAATTTGACTCTGGGTTCACAACCTATATAACTAAATTTTCTTACTTGCTAATATTATGAATTCATTATGGAGAGTCACAATTAGATGCAGTATAGAAGCCCTTCTTTGTTTTCAAGTAGAAAAGATCTGATCATTATAAAATCATGCCATTCAGAAATTTAGGAAGTTTAATGGAAATATTTTCCTCTTCCTTTTAGTTCCACCTGCCAGGGGAAACAACTGCTAAATTTGTATTGATTCCTTCTTGACCTTTGTACAAATATTTTAAGAACTATTTATTGACAAGTGGTTAAAAGGAGATTAAAAGGTAGAATATGTACACAACAGATGTTTGTATTCTTTAAGGACCTGATCGGTAGAATCAAGGCAATAATACAACAGTAAATAAAACTATGGAATAAGGATTTCATTTGAGCAGAATTTACTTATAAATATACTTTTCACAAAGATTTTTCTTACTTTAAAGTTAATATAGACCTTGCTGAAAGTATTTTTCTTTGAAACCTGTCAACTTGCTATCAACATAAAAGACCAACACTAAATAGGAGTTAAAACTATAGGTATATTACTTGGGTAGCCCAAATGATTTTATGAGTTTAAATATCTAAGTTTCTAAAAATTTTGTGTTACAGGCTCTTAAAAGATACAGAATAAGAGAAAAAAAGAGTACTGATTTTTGGGAAAGTTTACTGTATTATAAAATAAATAATGATACATTTTTAAAGGAGTATGGCAGTGTTCTAGGATTACACAGAAACAATACATCTTGCAGGGGAAAAAAATCAGAAATTCAGGATATTCCTTATTCACTACCAGAAAGGCTTATGATCAAGGTAATAGAATATATTCAACCATGTTTTTCTCACTAGATATCAGATAAGCCATTAGATAGGAATCATCAGGATTCTTTAACATTAGAGAGATGGAGTGAGGGTAAGAAGGTAAGGTTGAAATAGAACTTCTACAATATAAAATATGAAAATGAGGCCCAATGCAATCTTGACTTTTGGAAATATAAAAAAACTACTCTGATTTCTGTAATTGGAATGCCAAAAACTTACCCCATTACATCCTGATTTTACAATGTTTGTGATGAGCCATTCTTCTCATTATTATTTTACTATCCTCATGTCATTATAAAGAAAAACCATTCTGTACTTTGTTAATTCAGCTTCTCCGTGTTGTGCTCTTGTTCTAAATTCCATTTTAAGTCTCAGATTGTCCAGTTGTCTAATTGCAAAAAAGTTATCACTACATTTTACATTAAAGTTATTACCTGTTTTAAGATATTATTTATTTATCTGTATTAAGACTCTTAGGCTATTAAAGCTTCATATTAAAGTGACTTTTTGAACCAGATTACACTAACAAATAAGTTAATTAGAAACTTTAATATATTTAGACTTTATATTATTTAATTTCAAATACAGTAATATAATTGATAAGTTTTGAATGGTGATGTTTCTCATACTGTGTAACCAAATCATTCTGGTATTTTAAGTTTGCATTAAGAGCTATAGTGCTTCTTCTGTTGTGAACACGTCTTCATAATTGCCTGGCAGTGAGACTATGTGGTGAGATTTTATATATAGCAGTTTTCAGCTGTCATTCTTTAGTTTTGAACATGTGGAACATATATATGTATATTTTTCCTTTCATTTCCAGTATTGTTTTTACATTCACTCTTGAGTTATAGTTAAAAATGTGTGCCCATTTCATAGTAATAATACTTTGTAATAGATTGCTATGTTTTGGATACAACTTTTGTTTTAAGAAATGGCATTCTGCCTAATTATAAAAGCTGTAAAAAACTTACTAAATCTTAGTAAAATTAAGGGTATGGAGTTAAGTCACAGCTAGATTTACAAGTGTTAGAAAGACTCTTGCTCTTTTCAGTTTCTGAAGAACTAGTGGTTTTGAAAAGCCTAGGCAAAAAAAAATTCTGCCACACAAACTCTTCTCTACTGTGTATCATGAGCTGACACAGAGGAAAGCAGTGCAGACTGTGGGTCGTGAAGTGAATTTGGGAAAGGGCTCGCTCCTCATACACGTCTACCCCGATTTTCCGTCAGGAGCATCTCCAGTCTTTTACCGTGTGGACTAAAAAACCATGCCTTCTGTTAGGATCCAGTGTGAGGAAGGTTGTGTGAGTGGTACCACCTAACCCCACGTGTTCCACCCTCACTGCAGATAACCCTCTCCTTTCTGGTTCAGTTTCTTTTCTGTCTTTGGAGGAGGTGGGAGTTTGTCTGAATATTTTTCTTCATCATACATAAGAGTATATATTGTATCTGTGTAGTTTAAAACAAAAAAAAAGCTGAATCAATTTTATGTTTACCAATTTACTTAAATGAGAGATCTAAATACACTGAAAGGTTTTTGTCCCAAAGCAACAGTAGCTCCTTTTTGTTACTTGACCAATAGTCCACTATTGAAATAAGAATTAATTTTAATACTTGATATACAGTTGGGTAAAAATTACTTATGAGATCCATAATTTGTGAATTTACATAGTGTTCTCATCTATATTAAAAGAAATGAAAAGTGGTTTTCCCTACTTTTATCCATAGTTGAAGTTTTTCTTCTGAAAACAGAATATCATATGCTTTTCTCCATCAGCCATGTATTTATATAAATAACTACAAAAGTAAAAATGGAATCTTACTTCCTTGAGAAACTCTCTATCTTAAAGTGTGACATAATATGGGTTTCAAGTGTCTCAGAAGCAGCGGGGTTACTCAGCTTTGTATTGTGTAGGTTCTTCAACATAGTTTCTGGTGGGAAATCACTTTTGAATAGAGTCTAGGCAAGATCTTCTTGAGGAGAACTTCTTGAACTCTGCCTTGCATATTTACTCAGTTTATTTATTTCATTTGGGAACATGATCTGTATCCTAAACCAAATATTGTTTCTTAGATACAGAACCATATTTTCATTGCTTGTTTAGATAGCTTAATATATTATAGAGCCAGAATGGAGTATTTCTGTCCTTATTTTCGTGTCTATTTCTGATAATCTCTATGGCAGCTTTTATTTTTTATCTGTCAAATATATATAATCTTACTCTAACTTTACAAATTGAGGAATAAATTAATATAATCCCTGAGAAATATTGTGTGGTTAGACATGATACAGAGGAGCCAGCAGTTATAAATGTTGTAAATGGTAGAGTTAATGGAAAAATTGTTTTTGAGAAATATCCTGTAAATTAAGTTTTAAAAGCCTTTCTAAGGGTCTATCAGAGACTGGTTAATGAGGCCATTCTGCTATAAGGATTCTTATCTATGACCACATTCAGCCATAAAAATATGTGGTTGTTGATCATTTTGTGTGGCATCACACAGCGGTCATGCATGCTTCCTGAGAAACCAGGGTGTCCATAATATGGAGACAGATGTCAGGGTAAGCCTGAGGTCTTTCCTCCATAGTAAAAATCAGGCATCTCATGAAGAGGGTAGAATAGTCAACTAAGAAAATTTAGCTAGAATTGAACATTACATTGCCAGGAAGAGCAAACTAATTGGACTTTTAGTTGAAAAGCTGGAAATATTACAGTTCTTATTATTAATGTTGACAGCACTGTGAGAGTTCTTCAGGGTGATTATACCTAACCAGTTAAGGGTTATGCTGTTACCAGTGGCTTTTAGCCCTTGTTGACACTAATGACCTCATTTGAGAGTTATAGACTCTTTCCCAGAAAATGGACCTATGCCAGAATATTTTGCTTATTCTTCCTAGGAGTTTGTGCCAGTTTTAGAATCCAGTTCAACACCTTGCCAAATGAATTTGCAATTTATAAATAAATGTTTATTCATATTTGTTCCTTTCATGGCTAAGTACCTAATAGTGTTCCAGTTTGAGATCATGAATATTTACTGAGCACTTAATATGTGTCTGGCACATAGATGAATATGAGTCCTTATAAAAGCTCTAATAATCTGGAAGGGGGTGGTTTTAAGTAATACTGTAAGGAGACAGGCTCCATTTTCTTTAGCAATGTTTTTGAGATGAGATCTGTTATTTACTGAGAAATATTCTGAGGAAAGGGCAGGAAAAAATTGAGCCCTCTTTCATTATTTATACCTTTTACTGTAATCACCCACTTCCAAAACAGCCCCACTTGACGGAAAGTAGATAATCCATTGTCATAACCTTTGAATTCTATGTTCTGTGTATTAGGAAAGAAATCCATTCTTGTATTTGTTGATGAGCTTTGCAAGAACTGTGATGTTTCTATAGAGAAATCTGAAGACTGTGGGGCTTCAGTTAAAGTGGGGTATTGACAAAGAATGGCCTTTAGGATCTATCATTCCATAGAATTACACCAGGATTTTGCTCTCTATCTTCTTTGCCCTATCTGTGATCGTACTTTAGTACGATTTGTTAAGGATTAGTGTAATCAGTATCTTTAAAGTTACTGAGATCTGAAGGATACTTAAGGATTAAAGCAACTTAAAAATATTTTTATAGGTGATATACTCATCCACGGTATTTAGAGTTTTAATGTCATAAAAACTATTTTAAATTTCAGGAACAAGAGTTGAATGCTCGAGCCCGGGCCCTACAAGCTGCATCTGCATCCTGTTCATTTCGGCCCAATGGGTTTGATGACAACGATCCACCCGGAAGCTGTGGACCAACTGGTGGTGGGGGTGGAGGAGGATTTAATACGGTTGGAAGACTCGTATTTTGATGCTGAGAGTCCAAAATGCACTGGTCACAAAACATCCAATACCATGACTGTTAAAATGTCAGACTGTAACAAATATCATATCTATCTTTTATTTTTCTTTTCATTAGACCCTTATACTTTAAGAAAACACACTCAGTGCTTGTTTTATTTTCTTGACAATACATCTATTAACAAAATGCATCATGGGAAAAAAAATCTACCTCTTAAAACTCCATTTGCTTTTATGGTTAGACATGCTTGACCAAAAATTTTCAGAGGAAAATATGTACCTGGTCCCTAATGAAGCTGCATTAAATTTAGTAGAGGCATTTAAATGGTCCTATGCTCAGTTTTACTGAACAGAAAATAGATTTCACTTAGCATCCTTTATAAAAAAAATTGTGTGTTGGAGGTGAAGGAAATATTATTTAAAAAGAAAGAAAATATTTTATTCCCTTTGTAGTTACCCCATTATTAAATTCAAGTCTTTGAGAATACTAGCGATGATACAGTCTCTTATGAAGGCAATAACATAAACTTTATCGAGCTGTAGTACTTTTCAGGTTTGTTCAGTGCTGTCTTCAGCATCACTGTCTCTGCATTTCAAGTAAAAATGTTTTAAAAAGATTATTTATACATATGTGCTGAATTTGATCTTAAGAAAGGTGCATGATCCTGTAGAAATCACATTTTTACCTAAAAATTGCTAACTTTGTAGTATTTCTAATTGAGGATTTTAAAAATTCTATTTCAGGGAGTATATCTTCTGTGTGTTTTGAAGGAGATGAGTTCTGTATGTGCCTTGCAGTACTGTAATTCAAAAATAAGAATCTTTGGCTGCGGAAAAGGTTTTCTAAAATGAAATGTTAGGAAGTAATTTTTTGTGCTAACATTAAAATTATAACTTTTGAAAGGTATTAGATTTTCCTGAAGTAAAATCTGATGGTTCTAAATCAAAAAGTGTGATAGTTTGTTTTTAACTCTTATAAGAATTCAGAGGAAATGAACTTGGTCAAGTAAAAAAATTTTTTTTGATTTTTTTACTTAATCCTCAGAATATTAAACATTGATCATGTATTTTCAGAGTTGTACATTTGGGCTTTTTCTTTCTTTCTTTTTTTTTTTTTTTTGAGTCACATGTGTTTTGCACAGTTCTTTCTGTTTCACAGTTCAGATAAAATGTCAAAATGTCAGCCCCTACCATCCCACATTTTCTTTGCCAAGAAACTGGAAACTTTCTTCTAGGTCTTGATTATACAGTATTCAGGAATTATCCCAATTGTCTCCATTCCTAAAAGTTTTAACTTACCCATGGTATACATAGTTCTGAAGATTGGTCATATATTTATTTTTAAAACATTTTAAGGAAAGAATGTTCTTTGTTGATTTGGGATTTATCTTTTTCCCAAGCTTTTAATGGCAGTGGCTAAAAACAGATATCCTCATCTTCATTCTACTACTTCCCATTCCTAACCTGTTTCTGGTCATCAGGAAAATTAGAAAAACTGATTGAATTAGTTAAAAACTGGAAATTCTTTACAGAATTGAGATTTCTCTTCCCTGCAAATCACTGAACCAGAAGGAATTTTATCAAGTTTCTTTCCTATGGACCTCCTATTGTTCTAATAGTGAATGTCTAAGCTATGTGTTCAGTTATCCACTGGCTAGAAAATGATTTATAGTCAGACTATATCAATCCACATCTATTGAAAGTGGTAAAGTCATTTAATACTTGGTGGGTTGATGCTAGATTCAAGCGTTTCTACTAGGAACTTGCATAAAGACAATTAAACCTACATAAAGTTTTATCTTTGAATAGCAAGTCATTCAAGGATTTTTATGTGTCAGGGTAATTGAATATTCAAAATGATAACAAAGATGAAATTCTAGCTATGTAATATACTGAGCATGAGGACTTCCCTGGTAGTCCAGTGACTCCGTACTTCCAGTTCAGGGGCATGGGTTTGATCCCTGGTCAGGGAACTAGGATCCTAGGTGCTGTGTGGTGTGGCACAGAAGAAAAAGAGAAACATACTACTGAGCTTATTTAGATTAACTTTATACCACTACCAAAAACTGGAAGTTAAAGATTTCCTTTTAAAATTACAACTATAGTAATAATTATTTGGAAGCAACCTAAATCTCCATCAGCAGATAAATGAATAAAAGAAAATGTGTTTATATACAGTGGAATAGTACTCAGCCATAGGAAAGAATGAAATACTGCCATTTGGAGCAACATGGATAGACCTAGAGTTTATCATACTAAGTGAAGTAAGTCAGAGAAAGACAAATATCATACGAAGTCACTTATATGTGGAATCTAAAAAAAATTATACAAATGAACTTATTTATAAAACAGAGACTCACAGACATAGAAAACAAGCTTATGGTAACCACAGTAGAAAGGTGAGGGATAAAATAGGAGTTTGGGAGTAACATGTACACACTACTATGTGTGTAAAGTAGATAACCAACATGGACCTACTCTATAGCATAAGGAACTGTACTCAGTATTTTATAATAACATATTGGAAAAGAATCTGAAAAGATAATGTGTGTGTATATGTATACCTACACACACACACACACACACACACATATCTAACTAAATATAACTGGATCACTTTGCTGTAATCTGAAGCACGGTAAATCAACTATACTTCAATTTAAAAAATAAATTTAAAAGCAAAAAAGATAATAAACCAAAAAAAACAAAACAAAATAAAACCCAATGAATCTTAAAAAAAGAAGTCCAAAAAAAGAAAAAAGAAGTCTAAAAGGCTCTTCTATGTATATATACATATATATTATATATTCTTATAATGCATTTACCAAACTGTCATATCATCATAATGTTAGCCTTGTTTTTTGTTTTGTTAATTTTCTTATAGACTCCTTTTTGGAAGTGAATGAAAGTCAAAATGAATGAGGGATTTTTAAAAAACAAGGATTTGAAGTAAACAGTTCTTTAAAAAAAAAGTTAACTTATAAAGAAAAACCTCAGGCTTTCTGTGTAAAAGGAAATTCTGTTATAGAAATAGTTTTAAAGAAATGAAATAAAGATTTTTATTCAACAAATCAACTATCTGGGTTTTACAAAATCAAAAGGATTTGTTATGTAAAACCTTTAGCCCCAGTGTTACATAACCAGTGTGGATTTAACTTTAAAAATAGAATCGAAGAAGTCAGCCAAGTGTGTAGCCAACTCTCATCACCAGTGTCAGTTATGGCCTGCAGTTGTTTTTCTCTTAATAAATCTCATGTTTTCAAGTTTTGCTTTGTGTGCTAGACACACACACACCTTGATTTCAGAGAGACGAAAAGGTTAGCCTTCCCTGGGTAGATCAGTGGTTTTCAACCATGCATAATGTTAGAATCACTTAGAAAGTTTTTAAAAAATATTACCATGCCTGGCCCCACCCCAGACCTATTAAATTACATGGCGACTGGGCATCAGTAATTTCTGAAGTTCCTCACATGATTTAAATGTACAGCCTTTGTTGAGAATTTCTGGGCTAGAAAAGGAATTGTTTTCTCTAGGACTTTTATCCAAGGATAGTAGCATGTTGAATGATTAAGTAAGATTAAAACTGTAGTAATTTAATTATTTGGAAGCAGCCTAAGTGTCAACCAGATGATAATGTAGTGGATACTGATAGATGATTGTGTCTTTTGAACTTATACAAGCCCTGTAAGTGAGTTCATACCTTTGCCCTCCCTTACTCTTTTATGAATAAAGAAAGACTCAGATTAAGGAACTTGCTCAAAATTATGCAGCTAAAAAATCAGAAATTGAGATTTTTTCAAAATCATAATTGAGATTTTAATCCATGTCCTCAGAACTCCAAAGTCAGTGCTCCAAAAGAGGGATGGTAACAAGTAGGAGAAAAATGTAAGCAAAAGATTTAAGCAAATTACATATTAATAAAGGTTTGCAGTAAACTATGAAATAGAATTTCTATAAACTGTATCATTTATTCTTTTGCACTCCAAATATCTTTTTTTTTTNTGGTAACAAGTAGGAGAAAAATGTAAGCAAAAGATTTAAGCAAATTACATATTAATAAAGGTTTGCAGTAAACTATGAAATAGAATTTCTATAAACTGTATCATTTATTCTTTTGCACTCCAAATATCTTTTTTTTTTAAAGTGAGACCCACTCTGTTAAAACCTGTAGGTAGTAATCCCAACAGTTGAGAAATACGGTTCTGAGCAAACTCATTTGCTATGCCTGTTTAATCTATGCTTATTTTACTAGCCTTAGCTCTTCCATTCTCCCCTTTCTGTCCTCCCATGTCATACTGGACTGTGCGTCAAATCCTGGTCTCCTGCATTTCAGGCAGATTCTTTACCATCCCTGCCATCAGGGAAGCCCAATTCTTACTCAGACATATACTCACCATCTCCAGGCTTTTCCACATGCAAGTAAGAGTAAGCACATTGTTCCCCTCACCCGACTTTCCCTCCCTGCTTTCATGTGACTAATTCCTGCTCATCTGTCAATATGCTCAAGTCTTCTCATACCAGCCTCCCAAACTGACTAGTCTCCCGTTTTATCCTGGGTTTTCTTGTGCTTCTTGAAGATACCATAGCTTAGTAATGGAGTAAATTTGAGTTAGAGTAAAGACTGCTCCTTCACAGCAGAGGTCCCCCACCTCCAGGATCTAACACCTGATGATCTGAGGTGGGGCTGAGGTAATAATGATAGAAATAACTCAACAATAAATGCAGTGCACTTGAATCATCCCTAAACCATCCCCCATCCCCGGTCTGTGGAAAAAGTGTCTTCCACAAAACCAGTCCCTAGTGCCAGAAAGTTTGGGGACTGCTGCTTTACAACAGCAAAGATTAAAAGCAGGTCTTAACACAAGCAGCCTATTTTAGTTAGCATAAAATTCAAGTTAACTCATGTATAAGCCAGAATGACTTCTCTATATCTCAATATATGAGATTTTCTTTTATCATTTCCCTGTTACGATTATAAGATGTCCTTTCCAGTCTCATTCTTCCTGGGAAAGACTCTGCACCCCAGTAAATCATGGTACATGAGCATGTAACTGTAGTCCAGGTACAAACGATTCCCCAAAGACCCTATTTTTCTGTAAGTCAATAGGTCAAGGTTTATATTTAACTCTATTAATAAACACTTAAAATTTTTGGAAAAAAAAAAAAAAAGGAGCAGACCTTGAAAGGATCAAACTCATGTGTAAGTAATTGCATGCTGAACAAAGTCCAGCACTCTTTAAAGGAATACAACAAACTGAGCATTTAAGAAAGTAAAATTCACAATATTGAGGATCTGGTAAAAAATTGTCAGTCATTCAAAGAAAAATAAGAAAGAAAAACTTTTCTTCATACCCAGAAGAAAAACCAATCAGTAGAAACAGGCTCAAATTATGGAAAGGAAGGAACTGACAAACCTTAAAAGAATGTGAAGAAAAATATGAACAAAATGAATAAAGAAACGGAAAATCCAAGAAGCTCAACGAACCCTCAGGAGAATAAATATAAAAGAAGCTGCACCCAATCACATAATAATCAAATTTCTTAACAGTGATAAAGAGAAACTCTTAAAAGCAGCTGGAGAAAGAGAACACATTATATATAGAATAGAATTTAGCATACCATATACAGACCTCAAGCCATATCTATTCTGCCGTGTGGTTTTTCATAAATAAAATTCTGTTGGAATACTGACACACCTATTTGTTTACCTATCATCCATAGTGGTTTTTACATGACAATAGCAGGATTGAGTAGTTGTGACACAGACTATTTAGCCTGGAATGACAAAAAATATTTACTAAAGTACTTTACAGAAAAAGTTTGTGATCCCCAATATAGAAAAATAGAAGGAAGACAGCAGTCATCTTACTAGAAAATATGCGAGCCAAAAGGCAATGGAATGACATCTAAAAAGTGCAGAAAGGAAAAACTACCTACTGAATATTTCCTATGGCTTCCCTCGTGGCTCAATCGGTTAAGTGTGCCTGCAATGCAGGAGACCTGAGTTCAATCCCTGGGTCAGGAAGAGCCCCTGGAGAAGGAAATGGCAACCCACTCCAGTACTCTTGCCTGGAGAATCCC